GCTTTGCTAAGCTTGTTCTAAGTAGGTGCTTTAGACCACTGAGCCATCTCACCAGCCCTCTGCTAGACTTCTGAAACTGCATGAGCTTCATATTTTTTGTCCACACTCCTAAGAACTCCAGCGAGAATCACCCATTCATCTCAGGTTACCCCATGCTAGGGTTTTTCTAGCTGGCACCTTTCCAAATGCCTCTAACAAACCACATGGTCAGGCACAGTCACAGCGATGACCCTACTCCAGCCATCAATATTCTGTATTTGGTCACTTTCCCATCACTGGGACCAAAGACTGACACCTGGAATTTAAAGGAGAAGAGGTTGCCTTTCCTCGGAGGACTCTGTTGAGGGTGGCAACAGCACAGTGGAAAAGCCTAGAAGAGGAAAGGTACTCTACCCTTAGCAGTCAGGAAACAGAAAGAAGAGCAAAGCCTTAGGCAAGAACACACCCTTCCAGTTCATGCCCTGAGTGACTCCCATGCTCAAAGCCCTGCCTCCTAATAGGATATTAATGAACTCAGCAAGAGAGTATCAATCCACCAATGAGCATTGTTCCCCTATGATCCCAGCACCTTTCAAAAGGCCCACCTCTAAATTAAGGTGATGCTGGGAAGACACTCTTTAGTTAAGGCATAGCAAAGTCTCAGTCTTCAAATATAGTCACATCCATGATTAGGACTTCAATATATGAATTTTGGGGATGTCTAGTTTATATCCACTTATACAAGAGAGGCTCTCTGATCTTGTTCTAGTTAGGCAGCTAGACATCAGTGTCTGAGAGGCAGATTTCAGTCTACAACCCATCAAGGTTTAGTTTTTGTTTTTAGGTTCTATGAGCTTTGACACATGTGCAGTGCTATTCCTGTATTACTGCAATGTCCTAGCAATGTGTTGCTTCCTTGCATTAAAAGTCCCTGTGAGTCACCAATTTGTTCCTCACGTCTGGCAACACTGACCTTTATAACATTGTTTTCCCTTTTCAAAATGTCATGTAGTTGAAAATATATAGTATATAATTTTTAGACTGGTTCTTTTATTTATAGTTACATGTTTGGTTCTTTCACCACTTTTTCTCAAGTTTTGGTATCTCTTTTTTTTTTTTTTTTATTACTGAGTGACATTTTTGTTAATGAGACACACTGTATGCATGTAGCCCAGTTTATCTTTCACCTATGAGAGGAAGACTTGGGTGTTTGTAAATTTCAACCCTTGAGTAAAAAGCTGAAATAAGCACATACATGAAAGTTCTTATGTGGCTGATTCTTTTGGTTTTTTATTTAAATATATTTCTGACAATTAATTTTCAGGTATGAAGAGTTATTGTTTTGATACGTGAAGTATGGAAAACATCTGTTAAACTATTATATATTTTAGAACCCGAGGTTACCCCAAATGACCAAAATCCATATTAGGGGTTGTCTGCACCAAATCCCAGGGAGTACGGCTTTTGAAAAGCGGAGTTCTCTAGATGCACAGTGGCCTCCCCCTGTGTACAGCTGGGTGATGGCAGTGCCAGGCCTGAGAAGCTGGCGCACTCAGTCCTGTTGCTGATAGTGCTGCTCACGCCACCAGAGAGAGACAGAGAGTAGATCCAGTCCTCTGTAGTCTAGCGTGGGTCAAGTTCGCACATGATGGGCCTCAATGGAGATACGGAAAGAGCTGAAACGTGAACAAAGAAAAGCATCTGGGGAGATGGCTCAGTAGAATAAGCGCTTCCCTGGCAAGCACAAGGGTCTGAGTTCAATCCCCAGTTCTGCAAAAAAAAAAAAAAAGAAAAGAAAAGAAAAGAAAAGAAATGCTGGGAAAGATGTCCTCTTTATTCCTGGAGGGAAGGAATCCTAAATTTCCCAGAGTGACATCAAATGAAAAGGAAGCTTCGGAAAGGAAAATGTTTTTGCTATGGCTGAATTTGGTGGATTGTAGTTGAAAAGCAGGCATGTTCTTCATCTACATGCATTTACAGAGTACAGGGAATTCTTTTGCTTTGATTCGTGATAATCATCAAAGGAAGACTATACTTATCATTGTATTATCAAATCCTCTTTACACGCATTGAGTCCATGAGGGTTTTAGTTAAAGAGAAGGCATTATTTACCCAGACTCTGTACAAGGCAACAGTTCTGCTATTTGGAGAAGA